AAATCTGGGAATTAGGTGGATTGTTTATACCAATAGAGTGGCAAGGCACCACGGCCATGGTATGAAGCTCCAGGAGAGCAGGGATAAGTGTATTTGTAGTAGTCATCACAGTATAACTGGCTAGGGCTCATTTCCTTGTTGTAACATAGACCCCAAGCCGTTGGTCCTCCTGTAGCAACCCCATAGCCACCTGACAGTTGAAACAAATTATCATCACTTCATCTTTGTTTCGTTATATATAAGACTGCATAAAATCCTTGTAAATCTAAGCTTCAAAAGCACTTCAAGGAAAAGCATTTTGGAGTCATAAACTCCAGCAACAACACTCAACATTCCTAGATTTGTATAGTTTTTATCCTGCGTTGTGAGAAAGCTACTTAGGAACAAATTAAGGTGTCAATTCCGTTGTATAGAACCCCAAATTCCAAATTATTCAACTCTTCCTAATTACGATTATGGGGATTTTAAACAAAAATAATTTTACATAACCCTAATCAAATCCATTTCAAAGCAAGTACTAGTTGAATACTTGAATGACGAGAAAAGATTGTTTGGCACTGCACACCAATCTACAATACCTGAGATTGTTGATATTTGGTCAATATATTAATGTTATCATCTTATATCAAGTATTATAAATAAGTACTCGATAATGTACAAAATACTGTAGATTAGTACTCGGTATTAAATACAGTAGATTGTTGACATTTGATATCAAGTATTATAAATTAGTACTCGATCCACATATAGTATATTGGAATTTGGTACCAGATCATGTAGATTGGTGCCTGATGCCCTCCTTTAGTGGTATAGAGAAAAAGAGATCCTAAAGAAATTCCAACCAAATCAACCCAAAAAAACCCTAGAAAGAAAAATTTTATAACTCACATGAAGTTTTACTGCCAACATGGCCAAGAAAAGCAGTAACTTCCTTCATCCCCTGGAGCTTGCCACCTGTGGTACCAAATCCATGAGGCTGGTACTCAGCGGCCGCTGTGATGAAAGAGTGGTAGTCCCAGAACCCCACGGCGTGCGCCACGGGCGAGTTACGCTTGGAAAAAAGGTCCTCAAATTGATAAGCTTGGAAGTAGTCAGAAATTGTCTGGTTACAACAATAAACAGACCATCCCTTACACTCCCACCCTTTGTCACACACCTTCTTGCCCTTCACTATCTTCACCAACGGCTTCACCGCTGACTCCTCTTGACCATTCGCAACGTCAACCGCTAGCAGCGTTGCAGCTGCCATTGAGAAAAGCAGAAGCCATTTTTTCTCCATTTTCTTGCTTTGATTAATTTTGTGTGGTGGGATGATGAAGGGGGAAATGGAATGAAATTTTATATATGGAATTCAGAATATTAATGGTTGGGGGGAGTGAAGAGGAAAGAAAATGAGTGTGTAACAAATAAGGTTAGGGGGAGACTGTCAATGTGTAACGCTCACCCACCACCTTCTGTTTTTGCTTCAAAATAATTTCTTCTTTTGAGTGCAAGGGAAGCAAAAAGCAGTGAGCATTCGATCAGCTTTTGCTTGCCTTTTATGACCAGATGGCCTTTTGCTGTGTTTTCAAGAGTATAAAGTTTTGGAACTTAGTTGGGCTTTTATTGAGTTGGTTGGCTCTTTTCTTGGCCTAGTCCACTTTGGACCTTAAAATCGGAAATTTGCTGGTTGGATCTTTGTGGCCCAAAATTTGAAAATAAAAATAAAAAGATAAATAAATTGGAAGTAGGTCAAATCACTTTAATAATTTGTTTAATCAATTAAGAGATGAGGTTATTATTAGTACTACAGTTTAATTGTAATTTTTTTATTTATAACTATAATTGAGTGTTTTAGATCTGACTCATATGAATGATACATTTGAATTTGATAGTTAATGTGACTAGTTCGTTGTGAAACTTAATTTAAATCTTCCTCCCTAAAATTGTTGTATAGAAAAAAGAGGTGGGATTTGTGTAGCGATCCCTTTGAACACTAGGAAGAAAAATACTACTAAATTAAGAGCTAGTTGTTAATGGACACTATTGTTTTTTTATCAACGAAAAAATATAATATGTAAAAAAACTTGTTAAAAGTGATTTACAGCGCAATATTAGTAATGGCTGGTTTACTAAAAGGAGAGCCCCTTTGGTGATCGCTGTTGATGTTTAATTAATAGGGTCTTGCAAGTGATTTGATAGGTCCATTGTATGATATCGAATGCTAGTGGTTAGCATTTCTCAAAGTATGATATATAATGCTAGTGGTTAGCATTTCTTAAAATATGATTTGATAGGTCCATTGTATGATATCAAATACGGGTCTGCTATCCCTAAATTGTGTCTCTTTCCATGTCTCTTTATTAAAATTTTGACACATGTCTTTATACTTGATAAATATTGACACTGTTAAAATACCATAACCTATATTAAGCATAATGAAACAAAGAGAATAATCCCGTAACATTCTCTCGCCTCCTAAAACCACCAAGCAATCTCCTCCTCCTTATCCTCCCAGTTCACCGCCGATGGTCCGCCACCTCCTCCTCCTCCGTACCACCAAAAAGAAACCTCTTAATTGTAATTGCTCAAAATTAAGAACTTGAGTTTATTGGGTCCTGCGAGTTTGGTTTTGTAGACATACTTCAAAGAAAATTAAAACATTTTTTAAGGAGATCAAAAAAGTGAAAAGACTGCCAATGGTTAATTAGATCATAACGGGACTCCAAACATTGAGAGAGAGCGAGAGAGAGAGAGCTGAGGAGAGTGGTCGGTTAAATTAATGGGTTAAACAAACATGACAATTGTAGGGAATTATTATTTTATTCATTAAGCTTTAAGATATGACTTAACATCGTTAGTTTTTTGTTAAATAGTAAAACATTGGAGATGGACCATACCATTTAACAAAGAAAACCCACATTTTTAAAATTAAAATCATAAAAATTTGAACAAAGAAAAGAGAACCCAAAAACCAAACCCGAAACAAATATGTCAGAGAAGCATTCATGCAAAGGAAATTTGATCACAAATTGAAAAAAAAAAAAAAGTGTGAGAGAGAGATGACGCTTCTTGCGGAGGCCAGGGGTTTGGGTCTTGAGAGAGAGCTGGAGAAATTCGTTCTGGCAGCAAATGGAAGAGCCCCAGCTTTTCCATCTTTCTTGCCTTCTACGATAAGCAACACGTGTATAGGAGGGGCAAATAAGTAAATCTACTGTTCAATAAACGTTAAAAAGCTCAGAATGAGTACCAAATAAGTAAATCTACTATTCATGAACAGTGAAAAACAGTACTAAGCAAACCGAGTTTTAGTATATGTATAATGTGCCCAAATTTTAACAAAAATATACGAAAGAGACAGCCACTTAGAGACAACAGATCTTTGGCCTTATCAATATATGCTAAATGATTCCATTATTACGGCGAGTGTTTTGGAAATACATAAATAAAATAAAAAAGAGCCACTCAGTCCATTTTACTACTTGATTAGACTTCTTGAAATTTTCTTGATTAATTTGGCAAACAAAAACAACCCAAGTATCGTTACCTTTGGGAGTTGTTGATTTTCTTAATTACTTTGTTTTGCCTACCAAGAAATAGTATTTTACCTAGTTGATCCAATAAGCTTTCTTGATTTGCAGCCATCATTCTCAATTTGGAGTGCATTGTTCTCATCACTCTTAGAGCAGTTCCATCGGGAGGTGGTTAGGACGGCACTCAGCCAAAAAACAAGACTGGCACTCAGCTAATCCACTCCATCCCGTTCCATTGCCTGGCACCCAGCTCAAGCTGGTCTCCAGGCCAGCCCAAAATTGACAGACCTTGAGACCGGTCCATCTGACGTCAGCGTGGCGTCGGAGGGCATATGATGTCCGCCTTTTTTTTTTGTTGCACCAGAGAGGGCGTTGTTGTGGAGATGCAGGAGGATGAAGCGACGGCGTTGAAGGACAGGAGGTGTAGAGGAGCTTGTTGTTGAGGTTGGCTTGGGATTTGAAGGACAGGAGGGCAACGGCGTCAGAGGAGGTTTGGAGGCGGTGGTGGGGATGGATTATCTGTGCTGGGTGGATGGCGTGCAGGAATGGAAGGGAAGGGAAGTGTGGAAGATGGGAAAATAAAAATATTTTAATAATAATAATAATTTTTTTTTATAAAGTCAGAAAATAAAAATAAAAATATTATTTTTTTATTATTTTATAATAAATAATAATATTTTAATAAATTAACTAGGCTATTTTTTTTAGGAGTGGAGATGCTTTAACCTATTACTATTCACTAGAGTATATTACTGTTCACTTGAGTGGATAAATGCGCTGGGTGCTGACGTAAAATCTTTAGGGGTGGAACTGCTCTTAAAGTAGGAGTGGTGGGTCTAGTATGCATGTCAATCGCAAATAAATGAAATTAAATAACTCGAATCAATGTTTAATATTCTACAGTGCGTGATTGAGACTAAATATGATTGAAATTGAGCTCGATTCAGTCATATAAAGTTTCACGGAACCTGCAAAACACATTTTATTATTATTATTATTATTGATTAATGCATATGTAGCTGAAGCCATTTGAACTGTGATACATATTTGACGATGACTCCATGAACCTAGTACGAACCCTACCATGGTTCATGCACATATATTAACGTCGGTAGGGAAGTGGGGACTTCGAAAATTGCATCACTTCAATCTCCACCTTTATAACGTTCGAAAATCGTGATGGAGTCGAAAGTTCATGAGAAAACACAATTCGTGTGTTTCACACTTCTGTCTACACAGCGGTCCCGTGAATTCAAATAGTTCAATTCTCATTAAGTTTTAGATGACGTGGTCCCGTGAATTCAAATTATTCAATTCACATTGAATTTTGGATAACGTATGATGGAGGTTGGACCACTAACAATGGGCAAAAGTACGGGGGTAAAAAGGGGAAGGTCAATAGTTAACCCCACCGACCAGCGGGATACACCGTACACGTGGTGGTGGTGATAACAAGTGTCTTTATCGGTGGCCTAAGATCTTCCTCATCGAACGGCCAGTTTCCGCCTCCGTAGAATCGTTATCCTGAAACGCGCATCGGAGAAAACGAATTTCTCGGGCATTGAAGAGCAGCTGACTTCACCTGTCCTGCTACAACAAATATATTTATTGATAGCCGAAAAATCTTCCAAGTCCGGACTTCTTGGATATATTGATTGCTAGTCAGCTCCTTTCATTTTATGCCTTCTCATTTTTTACGAAATAACCGACAATCAGAGAGAGAGAGAGAGAGAGAGAGAGAGAGAGAGGCTCTCACTGCTGGAAGCTCCCGGCATTTTCCTTTCACTCGGATTTTGATTAGGTACTTTTGGGTTCATTTTGTTTTGCTTTTGATCGTTTTCTGTTATTTTTGTGAAATTATTGATCAAGTTTTTGTATTGGGTTTTGGGTTTTGACGGGTTTAAGGCTTTGAGTGAGGGAAGTTTTGGGATTACTTGGAGGGTTTATTGATGATGGAGAATCAGCTCGTGGGTTCAGAGATTCATGGATTCCGTACAATGCAAGGTACGGATGTGTCTTCATTTTTTATTTGTGATCAAAATAAAAGAAAATAAAAAAATCTGTTATTTTGCTCTCTCTCTCTCTCTCTCTCTCTCTCTCTCTGTAATTTGGTATGTAATGGAAAGTGATTGGTTTTGATTATCGAAGCAAGTGAATTTTTCTTTGGATTATCGCCTCTCGGCAGCAATTTACATGTTCTGCGAAAGCAAGAGCATGGAATTCCTCACAGGAAGTGTTATCCAGTGAATCCAGAAGCACGAATAACTTGTGGTCAGGGAGGCTGAAATGTCTCTGTGAGGGGTGGGATAACTGTGACTTGCCACTCCTTGTCCCTGTTTAAAAAAAAATAAATAAATAAAAAGAAGCTATAAAGATAGTATTTTTATGTGCTAATTGGGAGAGAGAAAGAAATCCATGTAAGTGTCGAAAAGAACAGAGCCTTCTTTCTTGTCTTTATTGATCAATGATGACAGTTTGTGGGGAGTCGAGGAAACAAAGCTATTGAAAGGCTTCATCTTTATCGTTTCTGTGTTGTAGAGCGCGTTTGGGGAGCAACCAAGTTGCTGGCTGAGCTCTTACAATGAAAGCTCAGGATGATTAGTGCCCAAGTCCCCAGCCTAGAAATCCCAAATAACCATGTCAAACTAAATTTTTCTATTGCAATTTGCAAATTTGCGATGGTTTTAAGTAGGCAAGACTTACGGGGAATTGGGAACAAAGGAAAAGGCAAGGGAAGATAAAATGACATAGATTAGATATCAGGTTGATACTGTTCAAATGGTTGGATTGGACTTTTTTGTCTGTGTTGAATTCGTGTCCCTACGTGCCTCCCTCGTTCGTATTGCAGTTCCGATTCTGACTGCATTCTTGATCAGATTCCATAATTTCACATGTTACTACCAGGATGTAAGTTCCCTTGCTTATTTTTCTTGCTGTGGGTTCTTGTTTCATGCACAGATTTGGATGTTGCGACTACTATGGAGGAAGCCAAATCAAGATGGCTCCGCCCAAATGAAATTCACGCAATACTTTACAATTACAAGTATTTCACCGTCTATATCAAGCCAGTGAACATGCCCAAAAGTACGCATCTGTTACAGTTAATAGTGAGATGATTGTGTTGTGTCGTATAACTATTGTCCCTTCTCACACTCAATTCATTCTTTTCTGATTTCAACAAATATTGAAACTGCTATGTGTCCTATCTTGGTCATTTTTTGTACAGGTGGCACTATTGTATTGTTCGACCGGAAGTTGCTTAGAAACTTCAGGAAAGATGGTCATAACTGGAAGAAGAAAAATGATGGGAAGACAGTTAAAGAAGCTCATGAGCACTTGAAAGTAAGTTTCCATTTTTTATTTGCCTATTCTTTCTTTTTCTTCTAAGGTGTTAGTTGTGCGTACTGTTGAATATCAATCTTTTTCAACAACCCCGTAGAGTTGGGATTCGGATTGATTACTGAAAACGCTGCACTGACACTTGTATCATGGAAATTTCCTTCGTTCTCAGTTTTAAATATTGCAAGGTTTTTTTTTTAGCAACTGCATTCAAAACTTGCCTGAAAATCCTGTACAAGTGCCAGAGTTTGGTTTGCCAGGGAATGATTATTGACAGTTCCATAACAGTTTTTCATTTGTTTTAATGGTTCAGGTTGGTAATGAAGAAAGAGTGCATGTATATTATGCACATGGTGAGGACAGCCCAACCTTCGTCCGGAGGTGTTATTGGCTGCTTGATAAGTATGTAATTATTACAGTTTACATGGATCCATTAGTGTATCATATTTTTACTATTATCTCTTAGAGAGTAGTCTTACTGACAGTATTATTGTTTGTCTGGTTGCAGGAGGCTAGAACATATAGTTCTTGTTCATTACCGTGAAACACGAGAGGTGGTTTTTCTGTAGCTTTTTTTTTTTTTTTTTTTTTTCGATGTTCAAGATTAAGTACTTTCAGAATTTGTGCTCCTTCTCAGGGCATGAATAGTTAAGTCTGTTATTGCTATTTTTCAACAATTTCCATTTAGGGGTTTAGGGTAAAACCAAGTGAGAACTTGGTAATACCTTCACGAACATGCCAGTCTTTGGAACAAATTCTTTGTTGCATTCTTTTCAGAAACCAACCAGATATTCTGACATTATATTGGATTGTTTGCTTACTGCAGGGTTCTCCAGTCACGCCTGTGAATTCAAACTCTAGTTCCGTCTCTGACCCATCTGCTCCGTCATTTTTATCAGAAGAACATGATTCTGTGGCTAACAACGCATATTATGCTGGTGAAAATGAGCTTCAAGGTGACTATATATGAACTTTCTGCACGATGACTTATGTTATTCATTTTTTGTTTTGGAATAGGCTGTGTCATTTCAGGAAACCATAACAGAATTTGGAGTGCGGTGATGTTAGAAGAAATAAATTACTTTTCATGATAAGAATTGGTTTTTTCATTGTTTCTTGATATTTTAATGATTTTTCCTTGTTTAGTGAAGGTTTGTTACTTCTAGTTCCTATTGCTATTTTTCTTGAAAACGGATATTCAAGGTCCTTACTCTTGCGTTTTGATGGTCTACAGAGCTTGGAGACGGATTGACTGTTAATAATCATGAACAGAGGCTCCATGATATTAATACACTCGAATGGGATGAACTTCTGGTTAAAAATGATTCTAAAGGAGGTAAGTGACAAGATAACAGTTATTGCTAGAGCAGAACGCAGAATGATGAAAATATTAACCATTATTCTCTCTCTGTCTCTTCTTTTTGGTGGGGGATTTTGCGGTGCCAGACAACATCTCAGGCTATGACCAGCAGAATCAAGTCGTGGGAAATGGCTCCATAAGTGGCGTAAGTAGAATTACTGATAATTCTTATTATTTACTGCCTATTTATTGTAGTCCTTCCGCATTGGCAATTTGTTGTTTATTATACACAGTGGCATTCAATTATTTTGTATACCTTCCATGATAAATGGTTTCTTTTTGCAGGGAACCAGCAGTTTATCAGCTGAAATTTCTTCTTTTGGTAATTTAACCAATCCAACCGTGGGGAGTGAAAACATTCAGTTTAATCTTTCAGGCACTCCTTGTGTTGAGACGCTGCTGGGTGATATGAATTCAAATGTCCAGAGAAGGGATTATATTGCCAAGGCCACATGTGGTTCCGTGGACGTTTTGCATAATAATGGATTACACAGTCAGGACAGTTTTGGAAGGTGGATAAACCAGATCATGACAGAGTCTACAGCCTCAGTGGAAGACCCAGTACTTGATTGCTCATTTTCAGCTGCCCAAAATTCATTTGCTTCTCCCACTATGGATCATCTTCAATCTTCTGTTCCTCAGCAAATATTTAACATAACTGATATCTCGCCTACATGGGCTTTTTCAAACGAAAAAACAAAGGTTATCCTCTTTGCTTTAAACCCCATATTCTACTGCTTAGCATAAATTTCAGCCTCTAATTATGTCCTTTTGCAGATTCTAATCACTGGCTTCTTACATCAAGAGTTTTTTCAACTTGCAAAGTCCGATCTACTTTGTGTTTGTGGTGATGTATGCCTTCCTGCAGAAATTGTTCAAGCCGGGGTGTATCGCTGTTTTGTACCACCACATTCTCCAAGAGTAGTAAACCTTTTTATGAGTATTGATGGCCATAAACCCATCAGCCAAGAACTAAACTTCGAATATCGTGCTCCTGTTTTGAGTGATACATTAGTTTCTTCAGAAGGGAACAAACGGGAAGAATTCCAAGCACAGATGCGGCTTGCTTATTTGCTTTTCTCCTCATCTCATAGCCTCAATATTCTATCTAGTAAAGTGCCCCCGAATGCCCTGAAAGAAGCCAAGAAGTTTTCCCACAGAACCTCTCACATGTCTAATCACTGGCCATATTTGATGAAGGCAGTTGAAGACAACAAAACTCCGCTACCGCTGGCAAAGGATAGTCTGTTTGAACTAATTCTGAAGAACAGGCTAAAGGATTGGCTGCTGGAAAAGGTTGTTCAGGTCTCTAAAACCAAAGAGTATGATGCTCATGGTCAAGGAGTAATCCATTTATGTGCTATTCTAGAATATACATGGGCTGTTCGCTTGTTTTCATGGTCTGGCTTGTCGTTAGACTTTCGTGATAGACGTGGATGGACAGCCCTTCATTGGGCGGCATATTGCGGAAGGTATGCCATTTATTCAGTTATTTGTTTTAAGTTGTATTTGTCTGAAGCATATCTTGTACATCATTCGCTCCTTTGATGTTCTGTGTCTTCTTTAAGTTTTGGTACCCGTATGGTAGAACTTACCCATCTCTATCCTCTGCTCGCAATAGCTTGAGCTTTAAGTCAATAATTTTTATCTTCTGGATCATATTGATTTTGGGCATATTTGTTTTACTTGCATCTGACATTGTTGCATGCATTCTGTGATAAGATTGGAAGTATATCGTCTGAGGAGATTTTCTTAATGCTAAAACACTCCATGTGTAGGGAGAAAATGGTTGCAGTACTTTTATCTGCTGGGGCAAAGCCAAACTTGGTCACAGACCCCACGCCAGATAACCCTGGCGGATGCACTGCTGCTGATTTTGCATTCATGAAGGGCTATGATGGCTTATCAGCTTATCTTTCAGAGAAGGCCTTGGTAGAACAATTCAACGCTATGAGCGTAGCTGGAAATGTTAGTGGCTCTCTTGAAATTAGCTCAAGCTATGCAGCAAACTCTGAGAACCTCAGCGAGGAAGATCTATATCTGAAGGATACTTTGGCAGCTTACCGGACAACTGCTGATGCAGCAGCACGAATACAGGCTGCCTTCAGGGAGAACTCACTGAAACAAAAGACTAAAGCGGTTCAGTATTCCATTCCAGAGGCTGAAGCACGTGGTATAATTGCAGCATTGAAAATTCAACATGCCTTTCGCAACTATGAGACAAAAAAGAAGATCCAAGCTGCTGCTCGCATTCAATATAGGTTTCGTACTTGGAAGATGCGTCAAGATTTCCTTAGTTTGCGCCGTCAAACTATCAAAATTCAAGTAAACCCTCTTCCCTCTTCCTCTTTCTGGTATAGTTGGAAATTGAATATAGCTGGTATGAGCCACACAGGGATATACCAAATCCTTTTGGAAGATCAAATTTAAATAGGAAAGATTTAGTCAATCTACTTAGTGTCAGTCAGTCGCCACTGAAAAACATTTATGATTGGTCAAATTGCAAGATTGTTCTGCCTTCAGTAGCTTTAACTTGGATTGTTACATGTTAGACAATGACTAGAGCATGGAAGTTGCAGCTGGATTTGCATAACCAGTGTATGATTAACTCTTATAAGTCCAGGAAAACCCTGTTAATTGAATTGGCATCTTATGCAGGCTGCTTTTCGGGGCTTCCAAGTGCGGAGGCAGTACCGTAAAGTTCTCTGGTCAGTTGGAGTGCTTGAGAAAGCTGTTCTGAGATGGCGCTTCAGAAGAAGAGGGCTTCGTGGACTTAATGTGGCCCCGGCTGAAGTGAGTGTAGATCAGGATCAGGAAAGTGATACAGAAGAAGACTTCTACAGGGCCAGCCAGAAACAGGCTGAAGAACGCGTTGAAAGATCCGTTATACGTGTTCAGGCCATGTTCCGCTCAAAGAAAGCACAAGAAGAATATGCTAGGATGAAGATGGCTCACAATCAAGCAACGGTGAGTGATCTGATTAGGATCTTCTTTCATTGTTACGTTACAATTCTGCAGATACATTAACCAATCAAATCTTTTATCTTCTACAGCTGGAATTCGATGATTTTCTCGACCCCGATGCTATCATGGATAATTGAAGAAATTCCCGAGCTCCGGACAGGCAAATGACAACATTTGGGGATGGTGCTCTCTGCTTGTGTAGCCTGTACATCTTGTAAATGCCTATAACAGTTAGTTATGTGCTTTAGACCCTTTCAGACTGTTCCTAGGATTGTTGGGAGGCTCTTTCAGTGTTGTATGATCAGTAGTCGGTGATTCTCGATTTTTAATGTTATCGTGAACGCTTTGAGCGCTACATCTCCAAATAATTCAGTGTTTTTAAGCTGCTTCTGGCACTACGATTTTATATGATTCCGGAACTTCATGGGTCAGGCGCACACTCTTGTACTAGGATTTGCGTCCAAAAGTTAAATAATGACTTGATTTGCTCAAAATCTCATCTTCAACCGATGATTGAGCTATAACTTGATATAGCCCACCAGGCTATTATTTGGCCGAAAGAGGCATCAAACTGGCCAAATGTAATCCATTTAGTCATTTTTTGGCCGACAGCTCCTCATTTGCAATAATTGACTCAAATTCAACAACTAGATTTGAAAACATCCAACAGTAGCTTAATTAAATTAACCAATAAATTTAAAATATAAGTTTAAACCTAATAAATTATTGAGGGACTATGTTCAGCCTCTTCAATTGGAGATGATATAAGAGTATGACCTGCACTGTCCATTTAAAAATAGCTTTTTGCAAGACTGTAATTCCAGACGAGGGTATATTTAACCATTTTGATTAGAGATGACCTAAGCCTTCGTATCCGAAAGGTATTTTTCTTTGTTTGCATGTTTAGACATTAGTTCTTTTTACACGAGAAATCGAAAACAAGTTCTCAGCATGAGTAAATGCTCTCAACCACTTTAAATACAAACCTCTCGCAAACCACATCTGTATCCGTTATGAACCGTCAACGACCATTAGTACATCCAGCAATTTTTGTGATCTAGCTACTGGTTTGGTGCACAATTGATCTTCACGGGTAACGGACCAGTGCAACGCAGGGAGACAATACTTATTGAATGGAAAGTGGGCAAAAATACTACTTGCAGATGCCTAACTAAATGGCAGTGGAAAAAAAGAAAGCACAGAGGCAGAGTGGACATTCTGTAAATATTTATTACTTCTGCAATCTAGTTACCAATACAGATTAAGAAAGCTAACACATCTATCCAGAACATAATAAAATATAAAACGAAAAATAGTACTTTTACCGGAGAGCATCTGTTGCAGAAAACTAACACGGTAGGTTTCGAAGCAAAAAACTGGTACCTAAGATAACATGTCCACTTTACACGAGCACCTATGCTTAGAAATCGCCATCATCAAGTCAACCAGAGAGCATCTGTTGCAGGAAACTACCATCTGGACCGCCTGTGGCATGGTTGCTTGTTCATTCATCACCTATTTGATGTATTGGGACAGCCATTTGAAGCCTTCACCGTACCCCATCTTGCGGACAATACTGCACATGAACACTTCAAGGGGGCGGACATTGGAATCGGTCAGATTGACCTTCCCCTTACCTGTGGTGAAGTTAGTCAGGCCCAAATGGTAACGTAGCTCATCCTCTGATGCAGCATAAGGTATGTCAATTTTGTTTCCCAAGATCAGAAACGGGACAGTTGCCAATGACTCGTCGGAGAGAAGAGCATCGAGCTCCTTCTTTGACTCTGCAAATCTCTCCTTGTCGTAAGCATCAACCAGGTACACCACAGCATCCACCTAAACAATCAAAAGAGCGTAGAATATCTATGAATATATCGCACATCACGTTAAGAAAAATCTTGAACTAATCCCCAATTTGAAAAAATCGTCCTAGGTTGGGCACTAACAAGACACCCTTGACACCCGGAATCAATATAAACCAAAATAACAATCAATTGGCATTAAAATAAGCAGAAAAACCAAACTCTTGACTGCAACCCTGCACCTACAACTACAAGTTCAAGTGACTGGGAACAAAATAACACGAAATCCACTGAATTTTTCACCCCATGAATGCGATAACAAAACCCCGGCGTTGCTTAAATATTCATTCAGTCAAGGTTAAAAACCATCATCCTACATTCCAATGGCGGTTCAATCCATTGTATATATATGCCCACAAAAATACCATACACCCGCCGCATGTATATGCATTTTCATATTTTTCTGGTTTAGGGTTTTCATGTTTTTATCGAACACCTACACCATGCAACCACAATTTCAAAATATAAATCAGATCAAACACTAAATTAGCACATCAAAAATAGAGGAACTGAAATTTGAATAAATAATTGGTGTAAAATGTCAACCTTGGCGTAATAGTCCTTCCAGACTCTGCGAGCGACCTGATGCCCGCCCAAATCAAAGGCCTTGAACTTAATCATCCCAATACTCAGCTCCTCCGACGTCGGATGCTGCGTCGGTTGGTGCTGAACTAATCTCTGCAACCACCAAATCAAAAACCCTAATTTCTTCAATCCAAAATTCAAATTCAAATTAGCAATTAAAAGATTCAAATAAATCAATACCTCATCTTTGAGCATGTGAAGCAAGGTGGTCTTTCCGGCATTATCGAGCCCTAAGAACAAGATCTTGGCCTCCTTCTGCCATAGCCCTAGAGAAGCCAGAACTCCATAGAACCAATCCACCAGAAACATGGTTTCTTCTCTCCTCTTTCAGTCGGGGCAGAAATTCAAATCACGAAAGTTTGAATTTTCCAATGAAAAAAATTTAATCGAGATTTTCCCAAGAAAGTGACGGAAAATCCTAATTTTCTGTATTGGTTGGCATTTTGAAAGATTTTCCGGGAAAATATATTAATAGGGGACTGTCAGAGTGCGTAAGCTGGACTGGGGTGTGACTGCTTTGGTAGGTAAGCGGAGGGGTTCGGTGAGAGAAGGTGGTGACGTGGAGCCGGTGAATAAGTACGGTGACTGGGAAATGCCGGTTTTGGGAGTGCGGATCCTACGTGGAAATATGTTATTGGATGGTACGCGTCATAGGCTGTGTCCTCGTGTGCCAGCCGTCGATTTGGAAACTGGGAGTGGGAATGATGCCATTCTTTTCTTTGTCCTTGACATAAATGGATACGCGAAGTAATCCTAGGCAATCATCACTTTTTTTATTTCTTAATTTGAATTTCGTGGACACGAGTTTCATATCAATTTATTTGTTAGAGCATTTCTAACAAAAATGTAAATGCTTTGAAATGTATCATTATACAAGTGTAAAAACACTTGAAGAATAAAATTTTTCTCTACTTATATTATAACACGTGATATATCATCATGTATTTTAGGCATTCTAACAAATTTCTGCCATTGGAGATGTTCCTAGTAACTCAACATATTTGGTTGATAAAAACGGTATTTAGGAGGACTCAAACTACGATGTAAAAACGAATGCTCTTGACCAATTGAGTTACAAAGCTCTCTAGAATGCTTTTGTAAGATACACTTCTAGATTTTCACGTCAAACAGTAGATAGAGCGATTTTGGTTACCTAAAACGCACTTAGCCATTCCGCAGTCTTGAACAAGAAGAAATCCATGCTCATGAAAGACAATTGAATCCATCATAGAAGGGAAAAATGGATTAAACAACAAGGATTTCCAAAAGTAAGTGAATATGAAACTGCTCAGAACCAAAAACAATGCTTAACAAGAGTCATAATTCATCATAAAAGAATCACAATCTAGTTCAGGAAGCACAGATTTAAAATCGAGCATTGCGACAAATGATATACTATAAGTTGTTAATCCATCAATCCGATCAAACTCGAATAAGAAATTCCTCTTCCATTATAATTGTGGTCAGAAACTACAAATTCGCAGGAAAAATTACCACACATACCGAGCCGAAATGTTATCCGCCTACACTACTCTCTATTTGATATATTGGGAGACCCACTTGAAGCCATCCCCGTACCCCATCTTGCGCACGATACTGCACATGAAAACCTCGAGAGGGCGAACAGTGGAGTCTGTAAGATTCACCTTCCCCTTGCCAGTTGTGAAATTGGTCAGTCCTAGATGATATCGGAGTTCATCTTCTGAAGCAGCATAAGGGATGTCGATCTTGTTGCCCAGCACAAGAAATGGAACAGTTGCAAGGCTCTCATCTGAAAGGAGGGCATCCAGCTCCTTCTTTGATTCTGCAAAACGATCCTTGTCGTATGCATCAACCAGATAAACAACTGCATCAACCTGTTCACAGCAGAGAAAATGAAAAACTTGCAGCAATTAGGATGTAAATCAGCAAAATCCAAAATTAATTCAACACAACTTAAATTCACTAACAACAATCACGGCCAAGAATACGGACCATAAACACCATATGACAAACTAGAAACTTGAGAGAAAAAAGGAATTATAGAACTTAATATATTTGGTCAAGGAGAGGTTGGAGCAGGAACTCAGAATTTTATATGCAATCACGAAACGGTGAGACTTGGTGTATCAAGGGGAAATCAAAATGAATGCAAGAATGTAGCTACTAAGCATTTATTCTGATAAAGAAGTCATCAAGTCTGATCCAAAATAAAGTCACAATAGATCGGTTCGCTTGCAAAGAGAAGCAACCACAACTAAATCTTCCAATGTCTGGAATAGCGGAGTCATAAAGTTCACTTTCCATAATATAGTCGTCTTCTCTTTGTTCACTCTTCTCGATGAATGACTTCTCCATTAGGAAGCATGGAGAAGGTTTATGAAGTGATTTATTAAAACTAGACAGCATGGACGTGGATACGTGACTTTTGAAAAGATAGGACTCTTGCAAAATTAAGGTCCGGACTCCGAATCATAGAAAGTTGACTTGAAACAATTTCCCGTATGTTGGAAAGAAACAGGAAAATAAAAGCAGAAAAACACGGACAGAAAGAGACGGAGAATAAAGGTTAATTTGGTTTAGTGTGTTTAACCAGACTCTGATGTTTTTATCAAATGTAAATAATCATTGTCAAGTTAATTCACAAGGAAATGTTTTGTGACTTGTTCGTAATGGGAGAGTAAGTTTTCAACTCTAAGACCAAGCCACAATCATGAACCATGATGGCATTTTTTAGGACATCACGTCTGGAAAGATACTAGTAAAATAGCTCCTGGAAAAAAGAAAAGAGGTGCTCTCAGCAAAACCTCCACTGTAAATGTTTGCCTCCCATGAATCAGATGAACCCAAGGAAATTTCATCCCGGATTATGAAGGCAAAACATGCTAACCAGCGGTGCGAACAAATGCATTGCAACCCGATTGTTGGGTTAGAACATGTAAGCAGACAAGGAGCTACAATATAATCATAATGTATTGCGCAACAAAGACAAACATCGAAATATAGAAATAAATGAAGTTTGAAACACCCTGTCCCAAGTTGAAATCGATTGAAATCTCAAAAACTAAAGCATTGTTGACATTTTCGAATCGAAAAAACATAACTTCCACTCAATCAAAACAAGACAAGAGATCACGATTCACATACAAGTAGTGGCCGGAGTTATAGTGAAAGTATGAGCTTCATACACCAAAGCAATATGCAGATAAAAAATTCAGCTGAAAATTACCATCCAATCAAATTCCAACACTACCAATTCAACAAATCTAATACCTTAGCATAGTAATCCTTCCAGACTCGGCGAGCGATCGAGTGTCCGCCCAAATCGAAAGCCTTGAACTTAATCTTCCCAATGCTCAGCTCCTCCGAAGTCGGATGCTGGGTCGGCTGGTGCTGCACCAATCTCTGCAACAAAACCCACCACCGCATTCACACACATTCCTCAAAAACAACAAAAACCCAGCAAAGATTCAACCTCAAAAACGAGGACTCAGAGGAAGAGAATCAAACCTCGTCCTTCAACATGTGGAGGAGGGTTGTCTTGCCGGCATTGTCGAGACCCAGAAACAGAATCTTGGCCTCCTTCTGCCACAGCCCAAGGGAAGCGAGGACGCCGTAGAACCAGTCGAGCAGAAACATGGCAGCGGCGGCTGATTCTTCTCCGGGAGCAGATCGGCGGAGTTTTTAAGGAAGGACCAAAACACCCAGAACGAATCGGTGGAGAAGATATCGAATGGGAGGGGATTTAACAAATGGATTTGTGGGGATTTGTCGTTTTGGTGGTGACAACCGAATCCAGTTCAGCGGTACAACTGGAGGAGCCTGGACTCTGATGGGTTCTGCAGGTGGCGGTGGTGAGGAAATATGTGATGAATAATTAGGGAAATATATATATTTGTATTTTGTGGAAATTAATATTATATGCTTTACCTAATATATTTATGTAATTTTGGTTGGCTTTTGATTTGTTGTCATGTTACTGCACATACCTCTCTGTCGTTTTGACTTTTGACCATCACCACGTATGGGAAATTGTTTAGGTGTCCCACCTAAGAAATAATCATCTCCGGATCTCTTTCATCTTATTCTTCTTATCAAATAATTTGGATTCTTAAAATTTAATTCAACGGTTAAAGTCATTATAACTTTTAGAATGAGCCTGTATTTTTAGTTTTTGATCAAATTTCAAAAATCCTAATTGTTTGATGAGAAAGGGATCCTTTCCTCTTAGCTAAATAAGATGAAATGCCTCCCATTTTCACAATAAAATTGAAATAGATACCTCTATGTTCCAAATTGCAATGGTTCATTGGTTGATTGAAATTAAAAATCTTTTCCTTTTCAATTTTCCACTCAAACATTTTTTATTTTACAACAAAAATAAAATTTACGTTGAATTTTGGTGAGCCTATCGACCAACTCACCTGGTATAAGTTGGGTTGGGTTCTAACATTAACTTTATTTTGGCATGAAAATTTGACAACCTGGTCAGTAGGGGATTGAGTTAGGTTGATGTACTATTAATTAGATTAAGATTGACTCACCTGAATGATAATAATTTTTAAACATACATATATATATTAAATAGATTTATAAATAAAATTTAGTTACTTTTAAACACACTTGTTTATTAATGCTTGATTCCAATTTATGACATCATTATAAATAGTTCAGCAGAAATTTCTGATTTCGATGCCCGCTTATTACCCATTTCTACGTACACCAGTTCCTACTCATGCTTATTTCGATTCTTAGTTAGTAAACACAACATTATTTTTCCATGTGTTATAATTGACACGAAAATTAATGTTAAATAATAAAGTTACAGATACTGATAGTTTATAAAAAAACCTTACTTTAAGAGAATCTTCTTCACATTTGTTTATATCACAAATTCACAATGCCCATCACTAGAGTCGAGGAGAGGTAAGAGTAACTCCACCCCTAAAAAATGAGTTGGCCCAAAGTCCATTTAATCCACTCAAATGAATACTAATTGACTCAAATGAATAGTAATTGGTCAAGTACATATTCACCCCTAAAAAATGAGATGGGCAAAAGTCTAGTCAATTCGTATTAAAATATTATTAAATTTTTTTATAAAATAAAAATATATATTTTTAATTTCGAATATCATTTTTAACTAATCTTATCACGTCACATGTCATTTTTCGAAAGTACAATTTTTGTGAAAGATGGTTAGGTATTTATATATAAAAAATAATCTTTTTTTTTATGTATTTTTAAACAGTTTTTTTATAATTTTTTATTAAGTTAATTAATCTGAACCGTTGGATTTAAAAAAAAAAAGAAATCCAACAGCCTTAAAGTGGACACGTGGCCCAGGTAAGATCTGACCTTTTTTTTTTTTAATGCTGGAACGTGTGCCCAAGCACTAGCGGCAATAAAAAGGAAATTCATATGGCTGATGTCAGCTGGTGTCATGTAGGCCAATCTCTTGCTCAGTACATTATGTGCTGTGTTCAAAGCTAGCCTCCACTTTAAGCTAGCCTATTAGGTGGGATGGAGTGGGTTTTTGGGAGAGCTGACCTAAAAAATAAACTTTGAGCTAACACATTTGTTAGGGGTGGAAAGTGATGTAATGGAAGGCACATGGACTCAGGGGAGGGGAATAGCCGGGTGTATTTTCAGTTTCTTGTTTACTGTTTTTATTTTGAGTTTCTTTAAGTAAAATAGGTAAAAGAAAATAATATTGGGTCTGTGATGATAACAATAAAGCCTGTCCAGCCCAACCTAAGCCCAAATTCCCCGTTTGGTACCAAAAGGGTACTTTCGTCATTACGAAAATACAAGACCCGGCAGCTAGGGTTTTGGAGGAGCTCATATAAAGCTCAACTTCCCATTTTAGAGCGCCAAAGAGAACACCTAAAGCGTCGTCGCGGCTATTTCCATCGTTCTCCTTCGGTTCGTCTCCTCCTCTCTCTCTCTCTCTCTCTCTCTCTCTCTCATATTTCTCTCTCTAGCTGGATCACTATCTCCATTTTTGGTGCTGATTACCTGTATTGTGATTTGGGTTTTTTGGATTTGCAGAGATGGCCAAGTCGAAGAATCACACCGCCCACAACCAGTCGCGCAAGGCCCACAGGAACGGCATCAAGAAGCCTAAGAGGCACCGCCACACTTCCACCAAAGGGGTATCCATTTTACCTCTCTCTCTCTCATCAATTTTTGCATTACTTTAGTTTTGTTTTGTTAATAATTGCTTATGGGTTTAATTATTTGGATTCTGGGTTTTAATTTTCGGGTTTTGGGTTTCAGATGGACCCCAAGTTTCTGAGGAACCAGAGGTATGCCAGGAAGCACAACAACACCAAGAATGAATCTGCCTCCGGAGAAGAGTAGATTGAGACCTTCAAATCATGGCTCTGATTGGGGTTTTCTCGATTAGGGTTTGTTGATTTCGATGTCGATTTATGTTTAATTTGCTGTTAGTAACATAGTAGTTTGATGTTACTCTAGTGGGCTTTATTTCAACTTAATGTAAGAGCATCACTCTAGAGATTGCTACTTTGTTAAAGAGATTATGAGTTTTTGAGATAATTTTTTGTGGTTTTGCAATCATTTATTGATCGAAATCGATGAGTGCTCAGTCTTAAATCTTTTCAGTGCAAGTTATTGATTTACTACAGTGATTTGGAATTTCAGTTTTGTTTAGTTGTTTAGATTGTGGTTGATATTGGTATTGTGCCCGGTCAGGTATTTTCCTGCTAGGTGCTCTTATTTTTTATCAAGCATTTTTGGTTGGACACACATTATTTGTGAAGGATTTTAGCATCAGATATGCGTATGTATTAAGTTTGTTGTATCTTGGGTTTTCATGGTCTAGTCCATTTTCTGAGATACTCTAGAATTGCCAGCATCGACGCCCTTGCTGCCGAGGTCTCTGCAGATTAAAATTTGGATTCACAACTGTAGTTAGTATTTGAGTAGATCTGGTATCGTAAACTAATTTGAAATAGCCGTGTTGTTGCAAGTCTTCTTATGTTTCTTATTCTAATGTGATTCTCCTGGATTTAGTTGTTAGATTTTCCAGATTAGGGTTCTTTGGATTTTGTTTGGGTTTTATTCTTACTTTGGGTTAGAGTAGAGTGATATCTCCAAATCCTGGCTCTGATTGGGTTTTCCCGGTCAGAGTGTTTTGATTTTGACGTCGTTTTATGCTTTGTTATTAGTAAACGTAGTAGCTTCATGTGTGAGTACTCTTGTTGAAGAGATTTGAGTTTTTGATTTGGTTTTCATTGCTGCTGTTTTCTTGTTAAAATGCTGTAGTAATATCAATTTTCTTCATGTGTTTAGAATGCTTGTATATTTTGTTGTTCGTTGCGTTATTGGTTGAGTTTTAATTGTTGGAATTCTCCACCTCATTTTCTATCCCTAATTTTCAGACCTGTAGGTCTTAAAACTAGGGCTAGAAAGGATAATGTTGGTGAGACTGAATTCATAAGCTAAATTTGCAAACCAAATGATGTGTCACCGATATAAATCCACATGTAGGTCTTAAAACTAGGGCTAGAAAGGATAATGTTGGTGAGACCGAATTCAGAAGCCAAATTTGCAAACCAAATGATGTGTCACCGATATGAATCCACATAATTTGGTTTACAAATTTTGATTTATAAATTTGGTCTCTCTAGCATTATCCGGTTAGAAAATACCAAGAATTGAATAATTTAAATTTTTAAGAACAAAATTTGGTCAGAAACATGCTGATCCACCTAGAGGACGGATTCATTACATTCTCCAGAATTTGTTATTCACCGCTATTTTGCTAAAAGAAAGGTCAATTTTGATAGTAATTCGAATTAGCAAGTGTTGTTGACACTTTAAAAATCTTATTTGACATGAATATTAATAACAATTCCCTTTAAATTTTCGGTCAATTGTAAGGCTCTTCTGCATAAGTAGGGTCTAAAACTAGGAGAAAAAAAAAAAAAGAATTTTAACGAAAAACTTTCGATACTGTTTATTTTAACGAAAAATCATATTTTTACACTAAAAAACTAATTCTGATACTATTTATTTTACTCTTTATTTTATCTTTATCGTTAAGACTTAAAGTTTTCAAGCTTTTTTTTTCATTAGTTTTTCTAAAAAACAATGCTTCCGTGTAAAAACAATTATGAATACAAATGTTTCTTCAAGCCATTAACAAAACCAAGAATCCAAGATACAAAGGCGAAAAATATTTCGGGGCAAGTCGTCCTTGATTCCCTCAAGTTCCTTCGCTTCTCTGGGCTTTGATCTCTTCCGTCTTGTGATACAAAACTTGCCGAAACTCCCTATTACAAGCAAATACCTTCAAAATTTATACCCGAGTATTGAGGAAGCTTTATACTGCAACTGGTTCACTTACTGGGCTGGGAACATGAGCTACCTGCCCCCACAATAATGTAAAAAGACATATGGGTAAAAAACACATCAGGAAAAAGAACTAGCATCGATGAAGCTTGGATTGAGAAATTAACGTCGGCAGCTCACCTTTGCGGACTTGAATAGTTCGTCTAGGACTTCGGACAAAGTAGGATGTGCATGGACTGCAAACTTGATATCCTGCAAGATCAAATGGATGGTAATACAAGTAAACTGAATGTTAGGACTGGTAGATTATAGGGGGCACATCAGAAGTTGCAGTGCAGGGGCATGCCAACACAGTAGCTTTAAATAGGTAATTACTTGAATGCGTGTCCCCAATGCTATCGCATTTGATGCCTCGTGAATAAGGTCTGCGGCATGTAACCCAAAAATATGAACTCCAAGAATCTCTCCGTTATCTGGTCTGTATATCAACTGCATAAATACAAAGCAGTAAGGGGATCGAAAATATCCACAGTACATATCAGCCGTAAAGAACAATTCATTGACAACACCAGTACTCGGTACTAATTTTCTGCGTAGTCAAAAGATAAATTTGGAAAAAAGAAAGAACCTTAGCGAGTCCCTCTCCTTCATTTTCTGCCAAGGCCTTTGTGTTGGCCTTGAAACTGGTCTTGGCAATACTTACTTCAAATCCCTCCGTTTCAGCTTTCTCTCTTGCTTGAGGCTGAAAATGGTAATTGCTTAGTTAAATTTCCAATATTTATCAAAGCTAAAAGATCTCTAATTAACACAGTCAAAAGAAATAAAATGTAAAATAAAAATTGATAACTAAAAGCGTAACCTTTGTGAAAGATGTTGAAAACAAAAATATGGCAATTAGCAAATTACTCACCTCTGTCAGTCCAACCATACTGATTTCTGGATGTGTGAAACATGCTGCGGGAATGCTCAAATGATTGAGCACGTGGTCTCTTCCTGTGACTTGTTCAACCACTGAAAAAAGGTATTGAGGATAGTTAAGTTTTTGTGCGTGAGAGAGAGCGACAGGGAGATTCAAATGAAATTAGTTAGGTGCACTAACCTGAAATTCCTTGTGCACTGGCTGCATGAGCAAGCATCATCTTGCCATTAGCATCACCAATGCAAAATAGGTGAGGAACCTGATATTCAAAATTCACATCAGAAACAACTGATAATGTTGATGTTAGGGTTCATGATCACAAGAAAATTTGCAACATACCAATTTGCCATTTGCATCTATTACTCGCATGCGCTCATCAACAGGAATAAAGCCACGTTGTGTTGCTACATCGATCTGCAAAAGTAATGTCAGAAACTCTTGTTGCTGTTTTGCCGAATAACTTTATATATACTCCAAAATTAAATAAATGTTAACCGAGATGTCATACATTCTCCAATCCAAGACCTTGTGTAAATGGGGCTCTTCCAGTTGCTATTAGTGCTGCATCCACCTGGGAGAAGATTAAAGTACAATGGTCTATCACAAATGCCTTGAAAAACCTTTCATACATTTGAACTGTAACAGTTATGCCTATAGTAATTTTAAGGCAAGCACTCAAGCTACTAAGGCATCAAATTGGAAGTCTAGACATATGCCTGACTTCAAACACAGAATCACAGCAGGTTAATCTATAAATTAGCAACTTAACAATATACATATGGGAACAGGTTCCTTCACAAGGGTATTATTCAACTAAAAGAGGATGTGGTTGTGTCTATCAGATTCATATGACCAAATCCGTTAATGGCAGAAAATCATATCCTTTAGATATGTTATGTCGGTTTAAAAAGATCCAGTCAATTACCTCAAGAGTTTCTTTTGGTTCCTTGGTCTTTGCATCAATTAGTTCAATGGTGACTGGTTTCCCATCCTTTGCGGGCGTGATCTATAACAAACCAAAGACAGTGAAAAACTGAAGCAACAATCCTGAAAACACTAAACAGAACAATCAGATCCACTTACCCTGGATGCAAATACTCCAGTTTGATAATCAATCTTTCGTGGATTTATTAGAACCCTCTGGGCTAACTTCCCAATCTCAGGATCAAAACCAGGCATAAGCTGATCTAAAGCTTCAATGAAAGTAACCTACAAAATACTTTAAGATTAGTCTAGGCTCCCCTGTGAGATAAGAACTCCTAGGTCGTACCAAAGAAATCTTTTGAAAGATTAAAATATATGAAAAGGTGGCTCATTGAGCTGGTGTACACAAAGAGAAGTTACTAATTGACCCATAGAATTAGCTTCCTTTTATTTTTTACATCGAAATAATGCAAAAATTCAGAAGATGAAATGTAAATTGAAAGAAAGGAACTACCTCGCTCCCAAGTGCAGTATAAACATCGCTGAACTCAAGACCTATGTAACCACTTCCAACAATTGCAATCCACTCTGGAACAAACTCCAATTTGAGTGCATGGTCACTTGTAATCACAGTCTTCCCTGCAGGTCACTTATATAATTAGTCACAAAGATCCCATAGGCTAGTAACCAATGTTCCCAAATCAGTTAATTTTTACGCGTCTTCTAAAACCAAAAAATGATTTGATCAACCATTAGATAACAAGGAATTGAAGAAACAAATGATTTTTACCATCGACTTCAATGCCCTTAGGAACAAAAGGAACAGAACCAGTGGCAATGATTACATCTTTTGCCGTTACTACTTTGTCAGATGATCCAATTTGCACCTTTTGAGGGCCCTGATATTTTCATGAACAAGAGAACCAATGTCAGGATAACTATCAGGATGCCACCACTTATATTGTATGAGAGATTTCAAACTTAATCATAGCCATGCTCTAACAAGCTCAACATTGTACCAAAACAAGCTTCATTTAAAAACAAGAAAAAAGAAAACTGGACATGTGACGTTAGTTTGTGTTGCCACCAAATATATTAGAACTTACAACTTACCAGAATTGTACCAACACCTGTCAAAATGTCGACTCCAAGAGAATTCATTGAATTGGTCAAACTATTACGAATTTTTGTTGCAAGATTATTCGCATGATCAGCTACTCCCTGTCTGTCATATCCAGCAGCTGACACCTACAGTAAGTCACAAGAAAGCAGCACCATAAGAAACAAATGTTTTCACAACTAACCGTAACTGGAAGTAACCAATTTACAATGATAAATTCTTGTATCTACACGTGCATGCAGTTGATGACATAAAACTGTGATTTACCTGCAAACCTAAAGCCTTGAGGTGATGTTCGTT